GACGGGGAAAGGATAAGCGAGTGTCGAGCACCCCAGTAAAACTCAATGAAACTTACATATTCGGAATCAGCGTAAAATTGTGAGTATTTTAGCTGAGTAAGTTAGAAAAAGTAAACATTTCGTGAAGTCGAATGCTAAAAACTGAAGGTTGGTCAAGGTCAGTCCAATTGATAGTTTGCAGGTCTTCACCAAGAAAGAGTCATTCAAAAAACTTGAAACTAAACAGTTATTGGTGAGAATAGTTGCTCTATCCAAATATGTAAACAAAAACGCAATGAATGAAAATGCAAAAATGCGATGACAATACGAGTTTTTTTTACAAATGAATTACACTATTTATTGTCTTCTGGAATTAGTTGTTGATCAGTGATAAAACAAAAAGATATATCAATGCTGTTTGTATATATTATCATTATTCTCTTAGGCAGAATAATTGTTAGTTTCAAACTTAAAAAATGATTTAGGGACAAAATGAATTAAGGTTTATTTGTATATTTCACGAGAATGATGTTAATTCAACCAAAGCAGAACAGTTAACAAACAAACACACTAAAATTCATCAATCTTATTATGTATCAATATTGCATACGTACTCATTCAAACATAAACATATAACAGAAGTTGAAGTTTGTTTTGCATTTACGTGAATTAAAACAATGTCTATGTGAAGGTATCAAATGAATTCGAGCTTTAAATCAAGCTTGTCTTGAAAAATATTTTACTCTTTGAAAAACTGGAAAGAAAATATGGACATTTTTTTTGCTAGAACATTTCTTTTTATTAAATTTCCTTTGTCTAATTTTAGTGTAGAAAACGTTATGCATTATCTTTCGTCAAAACTGTGCTGGAAAATAGAAAGTACAACACACGTAAATAACGATATAATTAAGTATATTTTACAAATCATTTTTTATTTTTAAATATAATTTTACAGAGAATGCATGTAAAATAGATGATAGGTTCTAAGCTATCATAGTTTGTCTAAAGAAGAATGATGATTGAATGGTTTCAATCTATCCATTGAACTTTGAAATAACCAATAATCTGATCTAGATATAAATTAAATCATTCGTTTAATTATTGACTTAGAAATATATGAGACGGATATTTGATTTCTGCTTGTTTTATGGGTGTTGTAGCTAGACGACCAAGATATCTATTCGGATAATTTTGTTTTGGTATAAATGTTTTTACTGGCCATGCCATTTCATTTTGTAAATCATTTACTGTTGTTATCTGTTGTTGTGTTGTTAACAGCGATTTGGTGGCATACGACATGTCCATATTTTGAACTTCAAACGTTACTACAATATGAATAATTAATTACTCGTAAACGAAAACTATTATTTGAGCGATTACTTTGTCAAAGAGTCAGAGAAAACTCAAACAAAACGTCGTAAAATGAAATTACTATCTATTTCAAAATATGAAGACCATGAATATATTTTGAATGACTTTTGAACGAAAAATGCTACAGACTTATGGTTTTCAGATTATGAAAGAAGGCACCCGGGTACATAGGTTTTCAGGCACGCTGAATCTCGCGGCAATGTTTTGTTTAGTAGTCCGAATTAAAGAAACTTCAAAAGATGAATTTTACAGAAAATTCAATTTCTCCGCTATGGACGTACTAAATTAAAAAGCTTCTAGCACCTGCATTTTCCAATCAAATTCCTTCAAATTTTCAAAACTTCTCAGTTTCACCTGCTGTTCTTAGCGATGTTAGAGTTATTTCTCATGCAGAGATTTCACCTGAAAATCTTCAGAAGTTTCCTGGACTACAAAGAAAACATTTTGCCACGACATTCAGCGAGCCTAAAAATCTATGTACAATGCAGTTTTAGGTTTAGAAGGTTCAAGTTTAACCGATAGGCAGGTCCTTGTAGATTGTCTGTAGCGTTCGAACTACAGTAGATGGAGACTTGGGACTTGTGCCAGGTTGTAGAACGACATCTGTTCTACACCCGCATGCTTTAGAGCAGCACTTCACTAGGAGGATTTTTGACCCGGCCATTTTGTTTTCGAACGGTACACCATGCTAATGCTGTGAGAAATGCCTCGTTTTAGCATAGACCTATGCTCCCGATTGTCCTGTTTTATAATTTCAAAACCATAGGTCTAGTTTTTCCTGGTTTTTTGAGGGATCTCTAAAAAACCATTCCATAACTTGAAACTTTAACATACTAACATATTAGTTTCTTTTTATGAGTAAATAGCCCAAAATATCCTCTACAAAATAGAAACTAAGCGACCTTTCAATTATGCGTGGCCTAGGCGTGACATTGGACTTCCTGGGAGCCACAGGATCGATATGTCTTTAGATGTAGTAATCTCGAACATAAATGGAAATATAGGTCATCGATCACGCTGAACCTTCTGGCAACCTTTGTTTCTCGAAAGAAATTGAAGGTCCTAGTGAAAATCAATATTATGTGAAATAACCCCCTTGCCTGTTTTTACGTAAAATTCGAAATCACTGGCAACTGTCAATAGAACACAAGAACAATAGCGATGTCATAAAGAGATAATAGATATAAGAATCGTTTTGTCAGAAAATCATGTTAATTGTAAAATGAAACCTATACCTGTCCTCGACA